CGCTGCCACCGCCCGCCGGGGTCTCAGCGCTGAGGAGGGCCAGTCCCCCCTCCCGCCCTCCTCCAGGACCCCCCGCAGGAAACCCTAAAACCGCCGGTTCCAAACCAGGTGGAACAACGCAGACTTTCTCACAATCACCAAGTATTCTCACAACCAGCCCCTCCCCTCAAGGGTGGGCAGTTTGAGCAGTCACCTCCCCGGACAGACGCTGGACATCTTGAACCCTTAAGGAAAGACGACCAGAAACGGGGATACCTACGGCGCGCGCCCGCCGCCCAGGTCGGGGACCCGCGCTCCGCTGGCGGGGAGGTGACCCCACAGCCGCCCTGGACGCAGGTCGGCCGCTTCTCTCACGGTAGCCGCCTTCGGGGCGCCTCAGCCGCCCCCCGAGGTGTTCACCGAGACCAAGTAAAGCATCGACCGTGCCACCGCTTTACACCAGTGTTCACGGCGACTTTACCTGGGACAGCCCAGAACTGGAAACAACGCAAATGTCAACCCGCAGGTGGTGATAAATGGTGGTATATCCATACTCAGGAAAAAAGAAAAAGGACAAACTATTTTACACACAAGAATCTCGAAATAGTCACGCCCAGTGAAAGAAACGCAACCCCAAAAGGGTGCTGTATGACTCCATTTATATAAAATTATAGAAAAGGAAAAGTCTGGCAGAAAACAGATCAGAGGCTGCACAGAAAGGGGTCCTCTTTCCAGCTCCACCCGGCCAGTGTCCCTTCGCCTGAAGCAACCACGCGGCCGGTCTCTTGGATGCCCTGCATCAATACCGTGTATATTCATATGCGCGTAAATGTATTTCCTCCGGTTTCCTCACCCAGATACCACATGTTACACACACTGAGTCTTTTTCAGTTAACAAATCTTGGAGACCTTGAATGAGTCCGAAGGGAAGGTGGTGCAAGAGGAAGAGTGATGGAAACTCTGTGGTTGGGTTTTAACACGTTGGGCTTTTTGTCAATATGGGCAGAGGGCCCGACTATGCGAATTGCAGAGGAGTGTGTGGGCCTTGCCATGCACTGGCTGCTTCTTTCTGAACACGGAATCGGGGTCCAGTGTCCCTCCCGAAGCTGGGCGGGCTGGTGGGCCCGAGCCTCCTGCCTCAGCCACCGGGAGGGCGCTTCCCAGCAGTGTGCGGCGAGCTCAGCGCGGAGGGGCCTAAGTCTGGGCGGAATGACTTACGGGCCTGAGCAGTGGCTGCTTCGAAAGCCAAGGTTGCTTTCGTATCCGCGGGAGCCCCCCAAATAGACAGCAATCGTGCAGACCACTGCTTTCTCCCAGGCCCCAAATGCGCGCCACACGGCCATTTCCTTGATTTTAGAGAGAGGGGGAAGGGAGAGAGAAACACCCGTCGGCCGCCTCCTGCACGCCCCCTACTGGGGATCGAGCCCGCGACCCGGGCAGGTGCCCGACCCGGAATCGAACTGGGCCTCCAACCACTGAGCACACCCGCCGAGCCGAGCCTGTAGCTTAATGTTTGAATGTATTTTGATTACGTCCAGATATCACCTTTCCAAAAAATGTTAGAAGTTGTTCAAAGTAAAACAGCTATTAAGACTGAACAGAAGCGGGAAGAGCATTGGCCTGACCCCGTGCGACACAAGCTCCAAGCGTGTGGAAGGACAGGAGGCCCCCGGAGAAAGGGGGTCTGCGGACGTGAAGGCGGGGCTCTCGGGACACACGCGATACGGAGACGCAATGCGGACACGGCCGCACCCGTTTCCTCCAAGTCATTCGTCACCTACGATTTCGCCTCGGTGTTCCCCGGGCGCTGTGGCTGCGCCGCAACACCCCCTCGTCCTCTCTGGGATCCCCGGCTGCCCCGCCCGCCCGCCCGCCCCGCCAGGCCCCGCCCCGCCAGGCCCCGCCCCGCCAGGCCCCGCCCCGCCAGGCCCCGCCCCGCCAGGCCCCGCCCCGCCAGGCCCCGCCCCGCCCCGCCAGCGCCCGGCCACGCCCCCGCTCCGGCCCCGCCCTCACGGCCGGAAGCCTTCCGGTAAGTCGGGCCTGTCTAGACCGTCAGCCGGGAAGGGCCGATCTCGGTTCCGGACACTGAGGGGTCACGATGACCCGGTGCCAGCGCTGGAGGGGCCCCGCCTGTCTGTCCCCGCGGCGGTCCTTCGGTGCCCCCCTCCTCTCTGACGTGTGTTTCAAAGGCTCCTGTGGACGAGTCACCGGGACAGTTCCGGTTCCGAAGGGTCCAGCAGTTCTCTAACTAAATAGCTTTGGGAATCCGATTGGCTAACATGCCCTTTCTAATCATGACCAGCGTTTGTTTCACATTTACTGCGTGTCAGGGGAAGCGATTTCCGGTGTCATCTAATCACGTTAACGACCCTATGAAATGTTATTGCAGATGTTACGGATGAACGACGCGGAGGGCCGACGTCACTGACACCGAGTGTCCGCAGATTCCTTTTGAAGTCGGAGCTTCACGTGAGTCAGCCCCACGAACATCGCACTTTGCCTTGGAGGGGACAGCTGTGAGGTCCAAGTCAAAGGAGGGACTGTGCGCCCCACCTCCCCTGGAAGAGGGGGATGGCCTGCAGCGTGAGGCGCTGGGGAGACTACGCAGGAAGTTGGGGTTGGGGTGCCTGCCTTTAAACCAACACAGATGCTCCTCCTGGACTCCCAGATATGGCAATGAAGCCCCCAAGGTGGGGCCAGTACCAGAAGAAATCTGAGCCTCCAGCTCCCAAAAGAAAGGGTAAAAACCTAAGACTGGGAGGTGAGAACTTCCCCAGCTGCCTGTCTAATCCAGCACACAGGGCGTTGTCGTGGGGATGGAGAGAAGATGGGTTCTGAATAGATTTAATTCGATTTCCGTCCAAGGGAAGAGCCAGACAAGAGTGGGACCACATCAATCTAAACGAAATGAAAAGACAGCCTGCTGAAAGGAGGATGTTTGCAAATCATATATCTGATAAAGGGTTAACGTCCAAAATATATAAAGTAACTCATACAAACAAACTCATTAAATAGCAAACAAATTGGTTAAAAGATAGACCAGGGATCTGAATAAACATTTTTCTTTTTAATATTTTTTTCTTTATTGATTTTAGAGAGAGAGGAAGGGAGAGGGAGAGAGAAACATCAGTGAGAGAGAGAACATTAACGGGCCACCTCCTGCATGCCCCTCACCAGGGGTCAGGCCCACAACCTGGGCATGTGCCCTGACCAGGAATCCAACCGGCGACCTCTTGGTGCAGGGTAAACGCTCAACCAGTGAGCTACACCGGCCGGGCTGAAGAGACATGTTTCCATAGAGACATCTGTAGATGGCCAACAGGTACATGAAAGGATGCTCAACATCACTAGTCATCCGGGGAATGTAAATCAAAACCATGAGATATCACCTCACACGTGTCAGAATGGCTATTATCAAAAAGGCAAGAAATAAGTATTGGGGAGGATGTGGAGAAAAGGGAACCCTCATGTGCTGTTGGTGGGAATGTAAATTGGTGCAGCCTCTATGGAAAACAATATGTAGCTTCATAAAAATAAAAATAAAACTGCCATACAATCCAGCAATCCCACTTCTGGATATTTATCCAAAGAAAATAAAAGCACTAATTCAAAAAAATATATGCACCCCACGTTGTTTGTAGCATTATTACAACAGCCAAGACATAGAAACAAGGTAAGCGTCCGTCGTCGGATGGATAAAAATATCACTCACACACACACACACACACACACACACACACACAGGAATAGTATGCAGCCTTCAAAAACAATAAAAACCTTGCCATTTGTGGCAGAATGGATGGACCTTGGGGGTATTATGCTAAGGGGAAAAAAGCCAGAGAAAGACAAATACCATATGACCTCACTATATAAGGAGTTAGATTTTATAGGACCAGAATATGAACTTAGGAAACTAGACTGTTTTTAATGTCCCTTGCTTTTTATATTCTCATTGAAAACCGTAGAGATTAGAGATACATGCTGAGATGGCAACCCTCAGGCATTCTCTACACAAGGTGAGCCCGCAGTGTGACCGAACGGCCCATACTTTTAGGAGAGGTTCCACACTAGAGGTCCCTCCCCCCCCCCCCCAGGGAGTTCACTGCTGAGGCCAGAACACAAGGGTGGCCCAGGACACAAGGACTTTCTCTTCGTGCCCGTGGCCATCTGACGTGGGGGGCGGGACTGGGAGAGTCCCGTGCGCCGGGAGGGAAGCCGGCCTTCCCCCTCATCAGCCAGGTCTGGGTCAGGGGACTCACTCTCCATCCCAACCCAGCACGATTTCTCACCGGGTTTTTCCCTGAGGCGCCTTGTGGGGTATTTCCCCGGGTGCACAGACATGGTGTGTTTATGATCCTTTTACCCGATGTCACGCGAATCCTCCAAGAGGAAGCTGACTTTTCTTCCCGATTCTCAGCCGCATAACCCAAATCTTGGCTCTTACAGCCTCTCTCCCCCTACTTCCTTCTAAAATGTGGCTGTCGCTGGCTCTGCTGTTCCGCGGCTCATTATCTCCCCCAAAGCCGCCTCCTGGCTCCAATACCTGGTCCCGGACGGTGCGCTGCAGCCGACGCGGCAAAAGATTCCCTCTGCGGTGCGGGGTCTGGGGGCCCAGTTCCGAAATCCCTCCGCTAGGGGGCGACCTGGTCTCAAGAAAGGACCCGTTATGAACTGTCATGTTCACTTGTTAGCCTGTGTATGATAGCCAACTACCTTTCTTCAAAAACTGTTGTGAAAATAATGAGAATCTGTGTTTTTACAAACTTTAGGAATTGCTTTTAACTTAATTTTATTTTATAATTATGTAAAATATTTACATGGTTCCAAATTCAACTCTGCAAAACAAGGCATATTCATTCAGTTTATCTTCTTCCACCTTTCCAACCTTATTTCTTCTCCCCCTAAAGGTTTTTCCATCACTCCTATATTAAAAATACATGATTTGCACCTCGTGTGTGTGTGATAATAGCATACTATTCACGCGGGCTAGACAGGCGCCTGCTGATTGGTTGTCTGGAAGGCCGGCCTTCTGCGGTTGCCAGGTAACCAAGGTAAACAGCAGGAAGTCGCAGGATCATGGCTACTAACTACAGTGCCAACCAGGTAAGTTCTTCTTTCCCATCTCTAACGTTTTTAATTTTGCCTTCAAGGTTCTACCTTTGGGCTGACTGACACTTCCCCTAGGTTTCTGATCATTAAATGACTGACGGTGGGGTGAGAGAGTATTTCCCAGCTCCTCGCGGTAGGGAGGGCCCGGGGGGAGCAAAGCATCTCTCGGTTAGTTTTAAGGTCTAAACCAGAGGTCAGCAAATATTGTGAAGGGCCAGAAACTAAACGTTTTAGGCTTTCCAGGACAAGTGACAAAATCAGAGATAGTATATAGGTACTTAACAACAGAAAACACAAAATTCGAAGTATAACAACTGAGTGCAATTTTTTGTCACACTAATGAAAAGAATGGATTCTTTTGGGAGAAACACTGTGCTTAATTGGGATACAAACTTTGTACTCCCTTTATCAAGTCGATGGCAAATGTCCATCTATAAAAACCAGTCCTGGCTCTCACGCAGCCCCAAGCAGGCAGGGTGGATCTGGCTGGCCCGCAGCCCGTTTGCTGACCACTGGTCTAGACAAGCGTTGTGTAATAAAAAGATATTGTGAATCACAAATGTAATTTTAATTCTCTAGTAGCTACATAGACATTTTTAAATAGTTCATTTTAATATCTCATTTAGCCCAATAAATCCAAAATATTATCTCAACAGTTAATCAATATCTTGTTACGAGCAGATGTTTTACTGTCCTTTTTATTCCTTTAAAATCCCGTGCACTGCCCTGGCCGGTTTGGCTCAGCGGTTAGAGCGTCAGCCTGCGGTCCACAGAGACCCGGGTTCGGTTCCCGCTAAGGGCATGTACCTCGGTTGCAGTTTGTCCCCGGCCCTGGTTGGGTCGTGTGGGTGGCGGCCACTCGATGTGTCCTTTTCACGTCGATGTTTCTCTCTCTTCCTCTCTCTCCTTCCCGCTCTATCTGAATGAAAAATGGAAAATGTCCTCGGGTGAGGATTAAAAAAAAATAAAATAAAAAAAAAAAAAATCCCGTGCACTGTGTATTCACAAAGCACCTCAGTCTGGGCTGTCTCATCTCAGGTGCTCAGCAGCCACGTGTGGCAAGAGGCCCAGCATGTCATTCAGGCCTCTGGTTCTCAAATCTAACCAACCGTGCACAGTCCTCATCTCCCAGGCTCGGGGGCTTAGAGCCTCACAGGCTTCTCATCTCTCTCCACAGTATGAGAAGGCTTTCTCACCCAAGTATCTGCAGAACTGGTCTCTCGCCAAGCCAACAAAAGAGGTATTCCATGTCAGCGCACCCACAAGGCCGCTTTCTGCTTTTCCTCTGTGCTGTGATTCCCACATGCTCCTCTCCCTCGGCCCTAACTAAAGCCCCCAGATACTTGCTCCCTTTCCCACTCCACCTTCCCCAGCACTTCTCTCCCACCTGTACCCCAGAACATTCCTTCCCACGAAGGCTACACACAGATTATCGCCAACGACCGTGGTCATCTGCTACCTTCAGTGCCCCGTTCCAAGGTGAGACACTCATCTTCTTTCTTACCGAGAACTGGAGTGAGTCTCCCGCTGCAACTGTCTGCTACACTGAAGTTTCGTCCAGTTCACATTGTAACATGAGCCCCAGACTTCGTTTACCCAACTGGACAGGGCATGTTTAGCACCCAGAACCCCTTAAACTGATGAACAATCTGTAAAACGGACGCCTGAGGGTGATGGTACTCCTGCGGTGAGTACCCTGCCAATTCAGAACTGAAGCCACAGAGGTCGGGATGAAACAGGGTGACCCAAGGGGAAGTGAGGTGCTATGCTTTCAGTCTTGTTTCATTACCACCCAGCCCCAAAGGATGGAAACAAGATGAACAGGCCCCACCGATGGGCTAGTTTCTGGGAGTGAGAAGCCCTGTTGAGGAACTCGGTCTTCTTCCTGTTAGGCAAGTCCTTGGGGTTCCTTCATGGGCACCTGGCAAATGCCTCTGAAGATACCCCCTGCTCGGGTGACCCTGACATCCCGCACAGCTGCTGGTGCCGCCTCCCTCACCAACTGGATCCAGAAAAATCCTGACCTACTCAACGCCTCCAACGGGCTGCGTCCAGAAATCTTAGGCAAGGTATCCTCAAACCCTATTGTCTCGATTTCTTTTCAACCTCAACCATGTGTTCTATCTCCACTACTCCAGCAGGGGGACCTCTAACCAACGGTCTTACCCTGCCTAGCCCATGAGCACATTCTGGGGTCTGAGGGCTGAACCACGCAGCACAGTGATCTCAAGGGGACCTTAGCGCATCAAACCTAACTCTTCTTGTTTGAAACCGGACCTTTGTCCTCAGTTTGGGGATTAAGAAATGTAGACTTTTGAGTGAACTGGGAATGACCTAGGCTGTCTCTTCTCTTCTACCCGACAGCCCCATAATCCAGATAGTCGGAAGAAACCCAGGAAGTCTGTACAACAAGCACCAAGTCCAACCATAATTCCAAGCTCCCCAGCCTCAAACCTCAGTTCCCCAGATCAACCCCAAAGCGCCCACCCCTCTGCAGGTCACACTCCAGGTCCCCTCAGCACAGCCAGCTCTCCTAGGAGCCCACCTGGAAGCCCATGCGCGGAGAACACTGGGCAGGTCCCCTCTAGCCGGGGTCCAGAAATGCAAATGTGAAACTCCACAGGGGACCCCACTGAGGAAAACTGTCTAGAGACAAGTGAAGTAAGCGAGACCTCCCGTCAGGGAAATTGTGGGAATAAAGGCAAGTTTGGAAAATAAACATTGCTTGTTGACTCTTACTGATTTCAATTCCCCCCCTGCTAGGGCTGCCTCTGATCACCAATACCTCGGAGATGGGTTGGGGTAAGAGGGAGAACATGACAGAGGCTTGGGGCCATGTATCTGTACCAGGATTGAGTTGGTCACACTCCAGAAATGACCAAGAGGAAGTTTGGTCTGAATCAGAGCAGCCCGCTCCCACACTTGTTCTTCCTCCTATCGTTGAGCACACCCAGTGACAGTGTCAAGGTCACAGGACACTCGTTAGAGCGTGTGTGTGTGTGTGTGTGTGTGTGAGAAGGTGTGGGAAGCCAGAGTAGAAGATAGAGTCCGTGTCTAAGACTTCCTGTCTGCTGACAGAGCACTCAGGAAAACAGATGAGTTACAAAAGCCCAAGTACAAATATGGTTTGAAAACTGGATGTACACACGTGACCAGAGGCAGAGAAGGAAAAGTGCAATGGTAAGCAGAAATCTAGGACAGAGAACGTGAGGACCACTCTGCCACTGCCCAGCCACCAGGGGTCGAGTCCCCGCCCACCCCACCTCCACTTGTGTGTGGCGCTGTCTACATGACCCATCTTCCTGGCCCTGGTGGTTCCATTCAGTGCCCTTGCCAACCCTTTCCCAGACCCAGTGCCAGTGTCCCTCATGAACACCATCCCTCACTACAAGGACAAGAACGAGGACACATGGTTTGGGCTCAAGGAGGCCCACGGAGACTTCTAGGGCCCGTCCAGCAGAAAGAGAGACGGGACGTCCCTTGAGGCCAGAGAGCATCGAGGCAGCAGCCCCTGCCACACTGAGCAAGGTCCTCCTCTGCAGCTGGCAGGTCACGTCACCCACTGCTCCCCGACCGTTCTCGCTGGCTGGCCAACTGAGTGACAGACAGCAGAGATGTGTCACCCGTTTTATCAAAACAGCACCCCTGCCAGGGGAGTCGGGCCCAGAAGCCTGACCTCTCCAGAGTCTAAAAGCAGCAAGTTTCTTATTGAGATGTTTGCCAGGTTTCCAGCGACCCTCCTCCCTTTCTCTGCGTTCCTCTCCAAATCCACACACGCACTCATCAGCCCTCAGCTTCTCCCCCAGCGTCCTTGGGCTCCCTGACAGGGTCACCATCTGCTGAACTGCACCATAGGCTGACCCTCAGTCCTCATGGGACTCCGGTGCCGGGAACAGCTCTCCACGGGCCTGATTCCCGCCCTCTTGCTCCTTCCTCCTCCAAGGCATCTGCATGGTGGTAAACCTCTGGCTACTTCTATCTGAGTCTCTGAAATTTCCCAGCTGTAAACGGTCCCCCTCCTGAGAGGTCAGACGGGGAAGGAGAGGCCTGCAGCCAGAGGGAGGGGAGGGGACAGCCTCCGCACCGCCATTCTCTAGGTTTCTCTAGATTTCAAGGAGAGTCAAAGACAAAATGAGTATTTTAATTTCAGAAAAGATATCACATGAATTTGGATTAGAAAACGTGACAATAAGAGGCTTGTTTTTCTGGAATTGCAAGAAAAAGAAATAACCCTTAACAGGCTCAGCAATAATTTTCTGGATCTTTCCTTGTATCAAAAATTATAAATCTTCTCCCCAAAGCACCTGCTCCAAAAGCCACCTCACTCTCCTTATCTCCCTCTAGCCAGGACAGGCCAATGCCCCACTGTGTGGGCGCTCAAGGCCCTGGGCGCTGACCAATGAAGAGAACTGTCCTTTAAGCCAGCAACCCACAGGAGAGGCACCCAAAGCCCCACTCCTCGTCCCCACGGCAGAGACCACAGAGCTGGCTTTGTTTCCACTGTCTCGGGAAGAAGGAGCCAAGAGCTGATCCTCAGCACAAATCAAGGCCCAGTATGGAGAGAACGAGGGCTCCTGGCCCTGAGCAGGCTGCAAGCGGGCAGGAAAAGGGAGTCTCCGCGGTCATGCCATTTCTAGAAACAAGGGGACAGGGGGCCCCTTCCCATAGCTGGCTTCTACAAGGTACTCTACGTGGAGCTGCAAGGACATCTGCACACAAGGTCTGAACACCAGGAGGACACGCCCTGGCTGGAGACAAGAGTGGCGAGAGGACACAGCGAGCCGGGGGCTGAGGGAAGATCAGTGGGAGCTTGGGCTCGTCACAGGGCTGCCAGCCCTGCAGAGCACAGCACGGTGAGAACCAGGACAGCCACGCCCGACTGGTACAGCTGGGGGATCTTCAGGCCTTTTCCTAGGTCCCACATCTGCAGGGAGAGAAACAGAAGAGTCTCAGCAATCAGGGCCCAGGTCACTGCCACAGCCCTCTCAGAGAGCCCCACCTGACAGCGGCCCTCGCAGCTTGTTCTGCAGAAAGCCTTCCTCCCGTGCCCCACCTCTCTCCACCCGCAGCACGGCTCCGCCCCTCGTGCAGAGGAGCAGACAGAGCTTCCCCAGGAGGACAGAACCAGCCTTTCCCTAAGTGTGTGCTTCCAAACCAGTTGCTCGGAACGCTAGGGAGAAGTTCTGTGGCCAAATAAGCCTGGTCGAGATGTTACCGCAACACTTCTGGACAATTTATTAATGGACGCAGTGACTCTCCAAAACAGGGACATAACATACACGGTTTCCTAGACACAGCCAATGTCCCTTTAGAGAAGCCACATCAGCCCACCAGAGGACTAACTAGTATTCTAAAAAAAAATACTCTGGGCCCTGGCCGGTTTGGCTCAGCGGTTAGAGCGTCGGCATGTGGTCCAGAGAGACCCAGGTTCGGTTCCCGCTAAGGGCATGTACCTTGGTTGCAGTTTGTCCCCGGCCCTGGCTGGTTGTGCGGGTGGCAACCACTCGATGGGTCCCTTTCACATCGATGTTTCTCTCTCTCTCTCTCTCTCTCTCTCTCTTCCCCTCTCTCCCTCCCACTCTATCTGAACAAAATAATGTCCTCGGGTGAGGATAAAAAATACATAAATAAATAAAAATAAAAAAATACTCTGGAATCTAGAACACTATTTCTCAATTTTGTCTTGACTGTGACCCCCCCCCCCCCGACTAAGAAATATGTTTTTTACCAAAACCCACTTATTTAAAGAAAACCACCACAGGCCACAGCGGCCTCACCCGTGCTAAAGCCCATGATTCCAAACCTGGATTAAGTACTTGATCTGACGAGTCTCAGCCTCTCCCAGAAATATCCTGGTCAACCGTCTGGAACCCCCTGCCCAACCACCAGGATGGTCCTCTGTCACCTGGTCCCTCTTCACCCCCCAGAGAAAACAATTTGCATGATGGAGCCCTTTGTCCTCTTCTCCCAAAGAAAACCTGCGCTGGCCCAGTACAACCCTTTCTTTTCCTTCGTCAACACCTATCTTTTCCACCGTTCTTCCTACAAAATGCTCCAGTTGGCACAACCCGCCGAATGGCCCTTCTAACCCTGGAGGGGACACTGCCCAGTTCAGGAATGGCGTAAGAAAGCCAATTAGATCTTCAGATTTACTCCACTGACTTTTGTTAACATACGTATAGCAAAAGTTAATGAAATAACAAACAATACTCATAATTACTATGTACTACATTCTATATGTTACATTCTATTTAAATTTCTTTCTTTGTTGGTGGCAACCCAGTAAATTGATTTTCTACCCATGAGGTCAAAAACCAGTTTAAAAACACAGACTTAGACTCTCTTGTGCCCCAGGGACATATTAACACATTGTACTGTGGCTGCTGAGAGAGCCCTTGGGGTGAAAGTAGGGTCTCCAGTTCCACACTTTCCACACGAGTGCCCCACACACATCGCCCACACTCTGAATGTCAAGGTGACCAAACTGGAAGCACTTTGGAGAAAACCCAGAGCCCAGACAACACTGAGAGGACGCCCCACTCAACCGAACAGCTTCTGCCCCATCAGACCGGCCGGGCCACAGGAAGCTGTTCTGCTCACACGGCCCCGCGTTCACAGAACAGGAGGCTGCTGCTGCAGCTGGTGAGAGGAAGGTGGTTCCTGAGACCGGCAGCTCAGGCAGAACCCGGGGCTGTGACAGCCACAGCCTGCCAGCTAAGAGAAGAGCAACGCAGACGTAAGGGCCTGAGAACTGCCCCCCACCCTGGCCCTGGGGCTCCGCTGGCTGGAGAGACACCAAAAAGTTTCAGGGTTAATTCCCAGTCAGGACACCTGCAGGAGGCAACCGACTGATGTTTCTCTCTCATATACATGCCTTTCTCTCTCACAAAAATCAGTGAGGGTGGCAGCGGTTACAGCATGGGCCTGTGGACCAAGGAGTCCCAGGTTCAATTCTGACCAAGGGCATGTACCTCAGTTGCGGTTCGTCCCCAGCCCCAGTTGGGAAACGTGGGAGGCAACCAATCGATGTGTCTGTCTCTCTCACATCGATGTTTCTCTCTCTCTCCCCCTCTCTCCCACTCTATCTGAAGATAAATATAAAAATATCCTCCAGTGAGGATTAAATTAAAATAAAAAAATCAGTGAGGATTAAAAGAAAGAAAGAAAATGTGCGGCTGGTGTGGCTGGTGGCTGAGCATCGACCCTGCACCAGGGGGCCGCAGGTTCACACCCAGGCTGTGGGCCAGATCCCCAGTGGGGGGCATACAGGAGGCTGCCGATCAATGTTTCTATCTCTCTCTCTCTAAAATCAATAAAAAAGAAAGAAAGAAAAGCCATACCTTAGTTCTGAGAGTCTGTAACCCCCCCCAAACCCCCAAACAAAAGGCTAGAGATGCAAGCCCCTGCCCAGGCCAGGGTGTGACAGAGGATGCTGGTCACTGCTTCCCTTAAAGGGCTTTGTTCTAGGAAACAGGAAGTCCACAAAGGAAACGCCCTCCCCTTCCCTTCAGGGAAGTAAAATCATCATGGATCCGAGTGAACACTGCCCCAGGGACAGCTGACAGACTACACTGAATTTAACAGGTCATTTATCTCACACTTTTCTAGCCCATTACACTGTCTACTGGACCAGACAAATTCAGAAACTGTCTGTCTCTAGGCTGTAACGTGGAAGTTATAAAAGGTCAAATTAAGGCAAAAGCACCCACGTGACAGAAGGCTCAGCTGAGAAGTAAAACAGAAAGGGGTGAACCACACTTGTGCCCTGGGACAGGGCTTTGGGGAGGGAGACCACAGAACTCAGAATCTCAAAGTGCTGGAACAGGGAGTGACCTTTCCCCTTTACAACTCTCAGGCAGTTGTTCCTAAACCGCATGTTAAAATCTGGGATCCTGGGCACCCAGTGTCTGTTAAAGTGGCCCCATTTTCCCCAATAGCTCAAAACAAAGACCAAAAACAGTTCATGCAATTCAGTGTCAAGATAACAGGTTAGTATATTTGGTGCCAGCCAACCATGTCCCCTGGGTGCAAGGAGCGTGGACTGCAAGCAGCAACCTTTCCCTGGCTCACAATGGAATCCCGGTGTCTGGACCAGCGACGGACACGAGAGGCGCCAAGTATGTGCCAAATGAACATGACTTCCATGCCAGATGTATGACCTGCCTTCAGGGGCCTCATCTGGTAACAACACTCTGAAAGCTGGTGAGTTCACACAGAGAGCCTGTGAGGTCTGCAGGCCTAATGGTGCTCAGCTCCACCCAGCAGAGCTGCCCCAGAGCCCCTGGCCCCACCCAGACCCCAGCACAACTAAGAACAGCACTGAACCCAGACAATGAAGGAGAATCCTCCGAATCTCAATGACTTACCAAGTGTCGGATCCCATTCCAGGTGTGATACATGAGAGGGAAGACGAGAGCAAACTTGGCCGTGTGGATCAGCGCTGGCCCCAGACACAGGGACTTCACAAGTTCCAAATGAGACTCAAAGTTCCCAGGGAGCAACAGGGCCGACAAGCCAAAAAGGGAGACCCCTGAGGAGACAACCATGTAAGCCCTTCACAGAAGCACACCAGCCAGAGCCAATGTACACGTCAGCTGGCTCGAGGACCACCCACGTGGTCCTCCACAGCCTGCTGTCTGCCACACCTCTTCTTTCCCTGACCCTTCTTCCCATTGCTGTCAGATCCCAGACTCCCTCAGCTCTCGCTGCTGCTCTCACGGAGTGCAGCTGGTCTCACCCAGACTTCTGTACCACGTCACTATGAAAAAGTGTGAGTATGTTAATCCCTACAGAACCTACGCAGTGGAAGGCTGTTACTAGCCCTCTTTTTTCATCTTTTAAAGAACAGTGGAGTTCTTTTTCAATAAATCCTATTTTAGAGTCAAAGAGTGTCATCAGGCTTTTTAAGTTCAACAAGCTTTTTAGAATTTCTATGTTGGCCACAAAATCTCCAGTCTGAACGAACACCTTACTGTGGATTGTCTAGGCCAGCTGTTCTGCTGCTGGAAGAACTGAGAACACGAACCTCTGTGATCCCCAGGTCCACAGGCTCGAGCTCCTACTTGTCGGTGTGGCGCTCAGACCATCCCTGCGCACTGTGCGCTCTCCCTCAGGCCCGCTCTCCAACAGCAGACCCAGTTATCACCTCCAGCGACTGGGCGTCCCAACCCCCTGTCCGGGCACAAGGCCTTCTCTGCTGATGCCCTCTACCTACGTTCATGAACTTCCAACCCGCCCTTCCTTCAAGCTCCACAAATCCTTCAGCTGGTCTCTCCTCTGGAACCTCCTCTCCATTAAAAAGCCATCACAGTATATTATAAGCATTTATTTGTCCTACTTCTTAGACTCCTCTACACTTGAGGGAAGAGGCTATTAATATCATGCCCCAATTTCCAATACATGAAGGAGATGAGCTGGAAGACAGGAGGAACGAACAGGTCTCTCTGCAATGACCACATGAGCCGACACCCATGAGTGCGCTCGATCGGTGAGTGCAGATGTCCTGAGCACCTGCTGGGTGCCGGCGGCATGAGTGCAGTCCCCACGCTGAGGAATTTACAGTCTAATAAAAGAGGCGGGTTTATAACAAGCAAACAAGATAATTACAAACTGTGTAATAAAAGCTATGAAAGAAACCACCAGTGTGATAAGAACCATGAAGTATTGTGCTGCGAAACTGAAAATCAACAGTAACTCTAGAAACAGAAGCTGCTTTAGATATGACAGTAAGCAAAGGACTCTTTGAGCTGACAGTTTTGTTAGGGCACCAGCCACACATGGCAAGGGTGGGAATGAGATCTGCAAAGGCCCTGTGCCCGGGAACTGACCGCGAGGCGGAGCAGAGAGCACGGGGAGATGACTCAGGCGGGGCCAGATCAGCAGGGCACTTTAGGCCGCGGTGGAGATGTAAGAGGAAAGGCAAAGAATAGTAATGTAACAGTAACAGGAAGATTCTACTTATTCAAAAGAATTTTTTTACTTTTCTTGCTGTTGTGTGACAATAGACTGGAGGAGGACCACAGAATGCAAAGGTTGCTGGGACTGATTCATTTCAGGCCAAACGATCAGACTCTGCTGCCACCTGGTCCAGAGCACATCACCCTCTAATCATGCTTCTCATCCCTTTCCCATAAGTCAACATCCAGAGTACAGTTTCTCGAAATCCCATCAATTCTGGGTTAGGCATTTTTTTTTTTTTAATCCTCACCCGAGGATATTTTTCCATTTTTTGTACAGATAGAGTAGGAGGGAGAGAAAGGAAGGGAGAGAGAAAGAGAGAAACATTGACGTGAAGGGACACATCGAGTGGCTGCCACCCGCACGACCAACCAGGGCCGGGGACAAACTGCAACCGAAGTACGTGCCCTTAGCGGGAACCGAACCCAGGTCTCTCCGGACCACAGGCCGACACTCTAACCGCTGAGCCAAACTGCCCAGGGCTGGGTTAGGCATTATTAATACGCTCATTTCATAAAGAATAAACTGAGGTTTAGAAAGTTAGCCAAGTCGCCTAAGTCATCCACTTAGCAACACTATGTCCCTTCCCAGTGGAGGGATACATGGTAACTGCTGCCGACAGCAAGCAGCTACTGTGCTCCATCAGGGAACCAGGGAGAAGGTTTGGGAAGAACAGGATATATGCTGATGAATACATGGTCGTTCAAAGGAGTAAACACAGCCCTGACCGGTGTGGCTCAGCAGTCAGAGTGTCAGCCCGCAGACCAAAGAGTTGCAGGTCCGATTCTGGTCAAGGGTACATACCATGGTTGCGGTTCACCCCCAGCACTGGTTGGGGTCATGCGAGAGGCAACCAATCAGTGTGTCTCTCTCACATCAATCTTTCTCTCTTTCTCTCTCTCTCTCTCCCTCCCAGTCTATCTGAAGATAAATGGAAAGATATTCTTGGGTGAGGATTGAAAAACAAAGAGGTAAAGACAACAACAACAAAAAAACCCACATAAGTACATCGTGAAAACAATACATTCAATTTTAGCCATGTTTAGCAAACTAATACTTTTGTATCATTCGAATCCACAACCTAGACTGTTTTCACTCAGTGGTGATAAACACACTTAAGCAATAATGGAAACTACAGACTAAAAAGTAAAAGATAAACTGCTTTTATTCTCCCAATGGTTTTAGGGTAAAATCTACTCAACAATACCATCCAACTAAGCAGAAAATATCTATCTGAAAGTGATAGGATTCAAGCAAGCGGAAATAAAGTCACTATGAACTTACAGTTAGAAAAGCCTAATCTTGAAGTGTATCCTGTTATTTCAGTGCAAATAGGTTAAAAACCAGAAACCATCAATCACCCTTCTGCCTGGATTCCATCATCCCTGTACCAGCCAAAGGAATGATGGCGCTGGGTCTTAGCTGGGCGTTCCTGTCCTCACCTGGTCACCAGCAAAACTAATCTGGCTTCGAGTAGCAGAGACTTGGCTTTCGATAATTCCTGCCATTGTCTCAGCTGCAGCTCCCTAAATACAAGACCCCTACATTTAAGCCACCAGCCCTGCTGATGACCACATCAATAAAACAGTCCTCAGACGCCTAAAAAGGGCCCTGAGGATATTATGAAAAACAAAAATATCCAGCATTCGCAAGGGAAAATTTTAAAACACAGTGATCCTCTTGCAAAGTATCTCCCTCTGGTGGGAAGATGCAGCCAATCTCAGAACCTGTGACAAACCTCCGACCTGCGAAGAATGAGCTGAGACCAGCGTACACTCACCCCGTGGCTGTATTTACATTACACGGAAAACAGACATTCTGGTCTGTAACCAAGACTTTGAAAGACTGGAGAGGGAATCCATCTCTGGGGCTGATCAATTCTGGGTGACAAGGAATAGCACTAAAACTGAGTATCTCCAAGAATAAGGTTGATGACTGACCTTGGACTGTGTTTGGTCAACCTTCCTTCAGCCAGCCCAACTCTATTATATTTCTATCTCTGCTCTCTGTGATTTCAATAAATATACCGGCAGGAGGTGCTAGGGATGATTTTAAAATCCCTAAGCAGCCCTGGCCAGTTTGGCTCAGCGGTTAGAGCGTCGGCCTGCGGTCTGGAGAGACCCGGGTTCGGTTCCCGCTAAGGGCACGTACTTCGGTTGCAGTTTGTCCCCGGCCCTGGTTGGTCGTGCGGGTGGCAGCCACTCGATGTGTCCCTTCACGTCGATGTTTCTCTCTCTCTCTCCCTTCCTCTCTCTCCCTCCTACTCTATCTGTACAAAAAATGGAAAAATATCCTCGGGTGAGGATAAAAAAAAAAAAAATAATAAAATAAAATAAAATCCCTAAGCAAAGAACTTGAGCATCACAGGAACGTAATTGTTAAAGGAACGAATGAACAATAAGCTTAAACAAACTCATCGTTTTCTCTAAACCAAGTCACTGAGCTGCAAAGGAGGCAGTGCCTAGAGCCAAAAACCGGCCAAGTTCTTCCCAGAAGTGCATGTGTGCGTGTGGTGCGCGTGTACAAGAGACACATACCTGCACTCAGGGCAACCCCAGTGCCGCGGTGGCAGATGGACATGGCCATGGGAAGGGACCAGCTGCAAGGAAACACAAGAGGCAACTGAGAAAAGGAAAAAATGATGCGCACTGGAGTCCACCTGCAAAGGAAACTCCGTGGAAACAGGCGATATTTACAGGAAACAATCGGCTCTCACAGGCTGGTGTCCACCTCATTTTTAAATAAGAAACACCCCACGGGTCCTTCCACTTCTCCAGGCACAAACCTGAAGCAGAGGAAAACCTACGTGAGTTTTATTTATCCATGGTTTCATATATCATCCTTGAACTCTTTTGTTTTTTTTTAATTTATTTTCAATTATAGTTGATATACATTATTAGTCTGTGGTGTACAATATCATGATTAGACATTTATATAACTTACAAAGTGGTCCCCGGTAAGTCCAGTACCCACCTGACACTATACATGGTTATCACAACAGTACTGACGATATTCCCTGTGTGGTGCTGTACACCCCACGACTGTTTTATAACTAGCAATTTGTACTTCTTACTCCCTTCACTTTTTTCATCCAGCTCCCCAATACCCCTCCCATCTGGTGACCATCAGTTTGTTCTCTATACCTATGAAACTCTGTACCCCAAAATACCCAAATTGAGCATACCATTTATTTCTTAATAAATCACCAATTCCAACTGTTTTAATCCAATTTTGCTGGGTTTCGTTTCCTTTCTTCTTATTTTGAGAGCACGTCTGTTAAAGCCGAGGACAGATACACAAAGGAAGGACTTAAGACAGACGCAACAACAGGGAGAACCAGCTCTGCTGGCTCGTTAGGAATGTCACAGCCAAGTGAGCCGCAGCCGGGCTGCTGTCCCTGAGACATCAGAGAGCAGGGCCTTGGTGACAGTCTCAGGAGATCAAGCCGGGACAAGCTGCCGCTGCCCGTTGCTCTCCTGGCTGCAAGTCTCCCGCAGACCCTCAGAGTTTCAGAGAGGAAGACAGGCAGGGGCATGCTCCAGAGACCACCGACCAACTTAGTAGGTTTCTTAACCCACAGCAGTTTTAAAATACTTTGTCATCAAACCACTTTTTAAATAATTTCTGAATTGCCAATCTGCCAAGCATTTCCGCAGGACAAGCACTCTGCTGCTGGGACTAGTTCTCATGCTCAGGAGGGAGCTGGTGAGGAGCTGGGAGAACAGCCATGTTTTTGTTCCTGGAAAGTCAGCGTAGAGAGAGAATGCTGAGCATAACCAGACCAGAGAGTCAGCACTCAAGGGAAGCAACTCAAGTGAGTTAAAAGATCTCCAAGAGAGATTCCAACCACGTAAATGAAAATGGTCACAGGAAGCAAGCTTTAATGTCCAAAAACCCCACAAAAACTGGCCAAACACCACTCTGATTAACTCAGACTCAACAGGACAAACATAAAAGGCAGAAGAGAGAACAATGGCATACTTTGGTTAGAAAGATCAGGAGACTAAAACCCAGAAGGAGCTGAGGCTTGCAAAATGTCAAGGACCACACACAGGGGCCTTTGAAAGGGGCCCCGGGAAAGCAGCCTCCTCACGGGACAGACAGCTGTGTGTCAGTGACAAGAGTGCAAGGCAGACTGCGCCACTGTTTTGTCAGAAAGAGTGGCCACCAGGCTGAAAAAGACGTGTTGATCTGAGAGAACTAAAAAGAAGACGGTGGGGAAAGCAAGACATTGCTTAGCAGCTGAAATTCACGTGGGGCTCCTGGCCAGAGGATGCAACCCCGTGACTGGAGAGCTGACGGATGGAGCAGGGCACCGTTCTGGCAACCTCTGAGAGATATTGCAGTCGATCCAGCACTCAATCGGTGAGGGAGATTTTATTTTCCAAAGAAGCACGGTATTATTTCCAGCCCCACAGGACATTCCAGGATCTCGTCACTGCTCATTAGGCAAGCAGGACATCACGGCTGGTTTTGCCTCAAGAAACAAAATGCAGCAGAAGTGACATGGTCTGAGCTCCAAATCACAGTCCATCTGTCCCTGCATCTCTCCTTCTACGGGAAGCCCACAGCGGCCTGTGACAGAACTGGGGCCGTGTAACAGCCAGAACCCAACGAGCACGTGTGAGGAGGGGGTGCACGTCCATCCAGCCCATGTATCCAGCTGAACCTCAGACCTCTCGGAGCAAATGCATCCCCATTATTTCCTGCTCGGACTTGAGGTAAAGTCCAGTGTAAAAATCAAGATTAATTCATTTGGAAAAAATGATCACTAGGAGACAGTACAATTTTCCTTACAGAAATTTTTCAGGAAATACTGAGATCCTTTTGAACCCAGATTATATCTTATTTGTCTTTTTATTTCCAACTCCTAAAAGAGTACATTACAGAGTATGAATAATCAACAAATATCCAGTGATCTGCAGAGTATTCCTTTCCTTTCCTTTTTTGACTGTGAGTAGAATTTAACATTAATCAGAAAAAGCTGGAGACACAGGATATGTGAATTTCAGCAACGGATGTAATAACTGTGCTGCAAACAATACCATCAAGAAAGTACAGCCCTGGCCAGTTTGGCTCAGCGGTTAGAGCGTTGGCCTGCGGTCCGGAGAGAACCTGGTTCGGTTCCCGCTAAGGGCACGTACCTCGGTTGCAGTTTGTCCCCAGCCCTGGTTGGTCCTGCGGGTGGCAGCCACTCGATGTGTCCCTTTCACATCGATGTTTCTCTCTCTCTCTTCCTCTCTCTCCCTCCCACTCTATCTGTACAAAAAATAGAAAAATGTCCTCGGGTGAGGATTAAAAAAAAAACAAAGAACAAAGTTTTTCTCAGAAGACATGCACATGGCCACTAAGTACATGAAAGATGCCCAACACTGCCAGTCATCAGGAGGCTGTGAAACAAAACCAGAATGAGCCCTGGCCGGTTTTGCTCAGTGGTGAGAGCATCGGCCTGCAGACCAAAGAGTCCTGGGTTCGATTCCTGCCAAGGGCACGCACCTTGGTTGCAATTCGTCCCCAGCCCCAGCTGGGATCATGCAGGTGGCAACCAGTCAATGTGTGTCTCTCATGTTGATTTTCTTTCTCTCTCTCTCCCTCCCATACTGTCTGAAAATAAAATGCAAAAAAAAAAAAAAAAAAATCCTCAGGTGAGATTGAAATAAAAACAAAAACAGAATGAGACGCCTCCTCACGCCCATCAGAATGGCTACTATAAAGATAATAATAAATTCTGGCGAGGGTGTGGAGAAACTGCAACCTTTGTGCACTGCTGGTGGGGACATAAAACAGTGCAGCCCCTGTGTGAACAGCACACAGGTTTCTGAGAAAACTAAATGTAGGCCCTGGCCAGTTTGGCTCAGCAGTTAGAGCACCGGCCTGAGGTCCGGAGAGACCCGGGTTTGGATCTCGCTAGGGGCATGTACCTCAGTTGCAGTTTGTCCCCGGCCCTGGTTGGTCGTGCGGGTGGCAGCCACTCGATGTGTCCCTTTCATGTCGATGTTTCTCTCTCTCTCTCTCTTCCTCTCTCTCCCTCCTACTCTATCTGTACAAAAAATGGAAAAATGTCCTTGAGTGAGGATTAAAAAAAAAAAGAAAACTAAATGTAGAATTACTATACGATCTGCCCGGCGGGTGCGGCTTAGTGGTTGGGTGTCGACCCATGCACCAAGAGGTCGCCGGATCAATTCCCCGGTCAGGGCACATGCCCCATTGTGGGCCAAACCCCCAGTGGGGGGCATGCAGGAGGCGGCCAGTCGATGTTCTCACTCATCAATGTTTCTCTCTCTCTCTCCCTTTCCCTTCCTCTCTCTTTCTTTAAAGACAAAAAAAAGAGGGTGTCAATGGGGGAAAAAGAAGCATCTGTAAGAAAAATAAAAAATAAAAAAAGAATTACCATACGATCTAGCAATTCCACTCTGGATATACCCAAAAGAAATGAAAGCAGAGACGATGTCCACCCGTGTTCATGGCAGCATTCGCCACAACCATCGAAAGGTGGAAATGCCCCAAGAGTCTATGATGGATAAACGGGTGAACAGAGCACTGTCAGCGTCACAAAGGGAGTCCTGACATGTGCACAATGCAATGAGCCCTGAAGACACTGTGCTGTGTGGAAGGAGCCGACACACGGACACTGCACGCCTCTGCTCTGAGTCCTGGGAGGCCAGACTCCTATGACAGGAAGTTGAATGGGGCTGCGGGGGGCCAGGACGGGGAACTGGGACTTACTGTGAACTGGGAGAGTTTCTGTTTGAAGAGACGAGCAGCCTCGGAGGTGATGGCAGTGATGGCTACACAACAACGTGAACGCACTTCATGCCACTGAAAGGCCCTTTCAAGGGGCCAGAACGGCGCTACTATGTGACGTGCACTCAGCACGACGGGAAGCCCGCAGCAGTAGACACAGGGAGGCCGCGCTTCTGGTGCGGCAGCAGCAGCACAGCTGGGACTTCCCAGAGTCAGCGCTGGTGCAGTCTGCGCCTCGGAGCAGTCCGAGGTCGGACGTGGGGCCAGCTTCAAACCTGGTCCCCGCCACAAGCAATCTGTGTGCTCCCCAGAATGAGTGAAACGGACTCTTCATGCTTAACCAATCAATAAATCAATCAATAAAACTTTTTTTTAATGTAAAAAGACAACCCAATTAAAAAAGGAGCATAGAACTTGGACATACATGTCTCCAAATACAAATGGCCAGTAAGCACAGGAAAAATATTAAAAATCAATAAACTGTCAAGAAGAGAAAGGCTTAGATCTCTTCTCTACAGCTCACAGAACTAGAACCAGGGGACAGAAGATACAAGCTGGAGTAAGTTCAGTGAAACAAGGTCTTTCCGGTAGCAGAAAGCCCTCTGGGAAGGGGACCCCGAGCTCCTTGTCACTGGAAACGTGGGGCCACGGCAGACAGCCTTTATGGAGACACTGCACAGGAAGTTCGCTCGTTAGGCACAACAGTAGCTTCTGAACATTTTTTTCCTGAGCAGCACTATATCTTCAAATACAAAACCGCACCATATAAAACAGATCATATAATAAAATCAGGTCGTAGGGTTATCAGGACTGGGGCCTGCAGAACAATCTGCCTTTTGCCCGCCCCACACAACTACCCACGAAGCTTAGTGGAATGTCCGAAGCCCAGCAGCACTTTTAAAACCAATGAAACTGAGGACATAACCAACTTTTAAGAACCCGTCCAACACAACTGTTAAAATTTTTTTCTAACATCTTTTTTTAGAAAGCTGAAAAACATTAATCTAGAAAAGTAGCATTGTTACTGAGCATGTGTTGAACACCTCACAGCACTCTTCATGTGAGTTCTGCCTCGTACTTGTTGACTGCCTCTTCAAGAGACAATGGCATTGTAGTGTGAATGTCTTCTATTGCAGCAAACTATAGGCTTCAGACGAATAAAATCGTGTAGGTCATTGCCAAGCATGTAGAAACTTGAAGCTAAAATTTTCGTGGAAGAGCAAGCTCTGGATCACGCTGCAGAACAACAGCCTGGAACAAAGTTTCTCCAGAGCAGCAGTTCTCAACCTGTGGGTCGTGACACCTTTGGGGGTCGAATGACCCTTTCACAGGGTCACCTAAGACATAACAGTAGCAAAATTATAGTTACAAAGTAGCCACGAAAATAATTTTCTGGTGGGAGGAGCTGTATTAAAGGGTCGCAGCATTAGGAAGGTTGAGAACCACTGGTCTAGAGGGAAGTTCTTGGGCTCTGGCAGAGGGGGGTGGACTGGACTGGAACTGTGTGGGACACTCAGGATTTGGGGGGTACTCAAGAGTTTTTGTGGAGCCACGGCCATCTTGCTTGGGGAGCCCCTTCCCGGAGTTCTCCTAACATCTTTTTGAAGGATTCATTTTCTCCTGATAATTTAGGTCCTGTACATACTTTTGCTTTGATAAACTGACCCAATATATGAAGAGATAAAGAGTGCTACAGAAACTGCTAACTCAACCTCTCACTTCCATGCCTCCTCCAAACAACTACAAAATTAGTAAGAGGGGATATGATTCCACACTCTCAGACCTCTTTCCCAGACATGTCACCTTGGAAACAGCCCCATGCTCACTACTAGGTCTCTTTTTTCCACAAGTGTGACTTCATGCTTAAGAGTTTCAAAACTGGACGAACAAACAAGGTAACGAGAGACTCATCTCACCAGACTACTACCATTTATTATATGACCTGTGAAAAAGGTCAGGGTTTTGTATAGATTCAGAGTAATTTGAAAAGTACTTTTATCATTATAATCCTCCCCCAAACCTTTTATGTCTTGAAAAAAGTTTCACCATAAAGTAGTAAGGACGGAGATCACTATCAGTATCCTTCTGTTTTAATACTGGACATTTATCCCATTTCTGCAATCAAAATTATTTCTGGAATCCAGCTTAGAAAAAATCTGAAGGGCTGTGGTATGTGCGGAGGTGGCAGAAGAATGGCCAGGATCCCTGGCAGGAGCCCAAGCAGAGGGCAGCAGAGCTCAAGAGGCTTTGCTGGGTCAGCTGGAAAGGAGCAGGTCTCTGGGAAGACACTGCATGCAGCTCTCAGTGCTGCTTCGGAGGACAGCAGATCACAGACACACTTGCATGCGTGTGCACGCACACGTGTCCCAGCTCTGTCTACTGAAAGGAGCAGGTCTCTGGGAAGACACTGCATGCAGCTCTCAGTGCTGCTTCGGAGGACAGCAGATCACAGACACGCTTGCATGCGTGTGCATGCACACGTGTCCTAGCTCTGTCTACTGAAAGGAGCAGGTTTCTGGGAAGACACTGCATGACAGCTCTCAGTGCTGCTTCGGAGGACAGCAGATCACAGACACGCTTGCATGCGTGTGCACGCACACGTGTCCTAGCTCTGTCTACTGAAAGGGACAAATGCAAAATCTGAATGGGACCTAGATCAGATGCAAATGGGATCAATGCTAACTTTCTGACTGTGATGACTGCACTATGGAGAGCCCCTGAACTCAGGAAGCACACACTCAAGTCTGAAGGGGCCGTGGCAGGCAGAGCACTGGCCTCCCTACAGATGTGCACACACTGACCCCTGGACACTTGAGTATTTTAAGGCTGTAGAAGAAACGAAGGTTGTTAATAAGCTCACCTTTTCTTTTTTAAATGTTTTTATTGCTTGTTGTTTTAGAGAGACAGAGAGGAAGGGAGAGCGAGATAGAAACATCACTGTGAGCCCTGGCTGGTTTGGTTCAGCGGTTAGAGCATCGGCCTGCGGTCCAGAGAGACCCGGGTTCGGTTCCCGCTAAGGGCATGTACCTCAGTTGCAGTTTGTCCCCGGCCCTGGTTGGGTTGTGCGGGAGGCAGCCACTCAATGTGTCCCTTTCACGTCGATGTTTCTCTCTCTCTTTTCCTCTCTCTCCCTCCCACTCTATCTGAACAAAAAATGGAAAAATGTCCTTGGGTGAGGATTAAAAAAAAAAAGAAACATCAATGTGAGACAGATACATCAACAGGCTGCTCCCTGCACACCCCTCACTGGGGATTATGCCTGCAACCTGGGCATGCACCCTAACCAGGAATTGAACCGGGACCTCTCAGTCCATGGGACGACGCTCAACCCACCGAGCCACAAAGGCCAGGCTAATCAGCTCAACTTAAGATAAAAAGGCCACCCTGGATTATCTGGACAGGCCCAATGTAATCTCACGGGTGGCAGAAGAGGACAGTCAGAGAAGAGATGTGACAACAAAAGCAGTGTTAAAGCGATGAAGGAGACGGACTGGACCCATCGTGGTTATGAAGATGGAGAAAGGAGCCACGAGCCAAGGAACTCAAAGCAGCCTCCAGAAGCTGGAAAAGACCAGGAAGCCGATTCTCCCTGGAGCCTCAGGAAGAGACCAGCCCTGCCCACACCTTGACTTTAGCCTAGGCAGACACTGTCAGACCCTGACTACTGCTGGATAATAAATGTGCTGTTTTAAGCCACAGAGTTAGTGCTAACTTGTTACAGCTATAACAGAAAACCAATACAGGAGTAATGGGCACCCTGTCTCTGCACTTGTTCTTAAATTCCACAGACTGCTAGTATCTCACGAATCTGCACAAAGGTTAAATGGGACTCTGTCTACTATTTCTGCAACATTTCTGCAAATTTCAAATTTGTTTCAAAACACTCTTTTATAAACTGACAGCATTCTGAATTACCAAGATTTTCCAAATGGTAGCTTTGTAGGATAGATTACCCTTCTAAGCCTAGAAAACAGAATTTAATCATCTTCTTATAAAAGCCCTGAGGGTCCTGGACAGCTTTGCTCAGTAGTTAGAGCATCAGACCGCAAACAGAAGGGTTGCAGGCTCAATCCTGGCCCTGGAGTTGTGTGGGAGGCAACCAATTGATGTGTCTCTCTCACACCGATGTCTACCCCCCTCCACTCTCTCTAAAAATAAATAAATGGCCTGAAGGAAATAACCAGGGCAGCTGTGGACCAGTCCAGCACCTTCGCCCACTTCTACATTCCCTGGTCCCAGGGCCCTTACCTGTAGATAGTGATATGAGGAGACACAGGACGGTTTGAACCAACGTTCTTATTCCAGAATCTCTCCATTTCTTCCTTGGCTGTGGTTCCCAAAGGAACAGCACTAAAATGAAACCAAAAAGTTGTAAAGTGATTAAAAGTTGTAATAATTTTTTCGTATAACAAAAAGTTAAAATAAAAATTGTGCGCAGCCGGTGTGGCTCAGTGGATTAGCATCATCCTGACTGAGAAGTCAGGGCACAGGCCTGGGTTGCAGGCTCAATCCCCAGCACGGGGCGTGCAGGAGGCAGCGATCAATGTTTCTCTCTCTCTAAAAAAAAAAAAAAATCATAAAAATATGTTTTAAAAGAATGGTAAGCTGGGCCTGGCCACTGTGGCTCAGCTGGTTGAGCATCGATTGTCCCATGCACCAGATCACTGGCTTGATTCCCAGTCAGGGCACATGCCTGGGTTGTAGACTTCATCCCCAGTAGGGGATGCGCAGGAGGCAGCTGATCAATGATTCTATCCCTCTCCCTTTCTCTCTCTCTCAAAAAGTATTTTTAAAAAAACCTAATCTGGCCCTGGCCAGTTTTGCTCAGTGGTTGAGCGTCAGCCTGCAGACCAGAGAGTCCCGGGTTCGGTTCCCGCTAGGAGCACATACCACTAAATAAATAAATAAATAAATAAATTTTTTAAAAAATAATTTTAAAAAAAAGCCAATCTGAAGTTGAGATCACTACTTATTTAAAACAAACAAACAAAACGGTAAGCTGGGCTGGATGAACCACCGTATAAGGAAACCATGTTCATCCACTTGCCTTATCTTCATGTCAAGTGTGACTGTTATTAATAACTCCAACCACCCAGTGAGGTCATCTCAGAGGATAAGTCCTCTTTCCATTCCCCTTGGTGCACAGGTCCACCAACACAAGGTCAACTGCTTTCTGGTTGGGCATCAGGGCAAACACAGTATTTTAAAACCATTTACACAAACGGATCACCCCTTTCCCAGGCCACAAGCGCTACCTCCCACAGTCTCACCTGCTCACATGGGCCTCAAGACCCCCTTTCAGGCTCACAAAAAACAAGAGCTGCATTCAGCTCAGTACCTCTGAACAGATTCTTGGTGTCCTTTGTCACCAGGCTAGGTTGAAGCCAACTGATAAACAGCTATGTCCACCCTGGCTGGTTTGGCTCAGTGGTTAGAGCACTGGCCCGCGGACCAGCGTTGCGGGTTTGATTCTGGCCAAGGGCATGTACCTTGGGTGCGGTTGGTCCCTTGCACTGGATGGGGCCATGGAGGAGGCAGCCAGTTGACGTCTCTCTCTCACATCGATGTTTCTCTCTTTCTTTCTCCCTCACTCCTTCCCTCCACTCTATCTGAAGATAAATAGAAAAATATCCTTAGGTGAGGATTTAAAAACAAAACAACTGTGTCCAACAATTTAATTTATTATGTGTCTACAGTAAACATGATTCCATCCCCCTCAGAGAAATATGTTCCCAGATTACTGATTAATTACAAAAGGAAAATCAGTTCCTTCACAGTGGAAAATGCCTAGCAGACATTTCCTTACTCAAATGATAAAGCTGAAATCACTGATGAGACAAGTGGCCTCATGTGCCCCTCCCAACATGCACCGAGGCTACACATCACTCACAGACCCCTCCTGCCAGGAATGGATAGCCTGAGTCTATTCATCAGGACAGGCAGACAGACCCACCCCGACAGAGACTCCTCAAACTGTCCACGCCATAAAACACAAGCAGAGGCTAAGAAACAGTTCCAGATTCAAAGACACTAAAGAAATATGACAACTAAATACAATGTGTGAGCCCGGCTGGTGTGGCTCAGTGGTTGAGTATCGACCCATGCACCAAGAGGTTAACGGTTCAATTCCCAATCAGGGCACATGCCCAGGTTGTGAGCCAAATCCCCAGTGGGGGGCATGCAGGAGACAGCCAATTGATATTTCTCTCTCACATCGATGTTTCTATCTCTCTCTCCCTCTCCCTTCCTTTCTCTTTAAAATCAATAAAGGGGCCCTGGCCGGTTTGGCTCAGCGGTTGGAGCATTGGCCCGCCGTACAGAGAGACCTGGGTTTGGTTCCTGCTAAGGTACATACCTTGGTTGCAGTTTGTCCCCTGCTCCAGTAGGGGTCGTGTGGGTGGCAGCCAGTCAATGTGTCTCTCTCACATCGATGTTTCTCTCTCGCTTCCTCTCCCTCTCCCTCTATCTGAAGATGAATGAAAAAAGGTCCTCGTGTGAAGATAAAGAAAAAATTAAAATCAATAAAGGAAATAAAATTTTTTAAAATAAATAAATAACTACAATGTGTGAGATTCCGGATGGGGAACAGATAAACTACATTATGTGGACAAATCGACAATCTGAAAATCGTCTGTATATCAAATAAAGGCACATCGATGTTAAATGTCCTGAATTCAACAACTGCACTTGTATAATTACACCATGTCAGGCAGTCGATGTGCCTGTTCTCACGAGTAGACAGAACTAAAGCGCTGTAACGCCTGCAACCCGATCACAAAGAATTCAGAGAAAACAATTAAATAAATAATAAACCACATTAAATTATCAGTGTTAGACCAGTTTAGACCTATAAAAATACCAATTCACATGGCACAACCTAAAATATGTAGCTAACAACTGATGAATCTAGGTGAACGGCAGACAGAACTTCATTGTAGTATTATTCCAACTTTTCTGAATGTATATTTCCAAAATTTAAAATTAAAAAAAAAAAATAACACAGAGGCGACTGTTGAAGTCAACGGACTAGAAATGAATACAACAAGAAGAAATATACTTAAAGGCTAAATTCCTGCCCCAAATTAAAGTTTACAAGAAAAAAAAGCATTAAAGGAAGAAAGACTAAACAGAAAGGGAAGGAAAAATTATATATAAAGGAAGGAATCAAGAACTGGATTAGATCAATGAAATTAAATATAACAGAAAAACTGAAAGTGAGGAAAAGTAAGAAAATATCAAAGAAGTATTCTATTTTTAAAAACTGATTTTAGAGAGGAAGGGTAGAAGAGAGAGAAACATCGAGGTGAGAGAAAAACATCAATCAGTTGCCTCCTGTACACGTCCTGACTGGGGATCAAACCCGAAACCTGGGCATGTGCCCTGATGGGGAATCAAACCTTTTGGTGCACCAAACGACACTCCAACCAACTGAGCCACATCGACTAGGGCCCAAAGAAATATTCTTATCCTTCCTTCTACTACAAGAGAAAAATAGTGACCACATATTTTCAGCCAACTGTCTACAACTTTTTGCTTTTATATGTATCCCCAAAATCTAAACCAACAATCTATAGGACAAACTGCTATTCCCTGAGGAGGGGGAGTAATAATAATATGCACAGATTTAGAAACTTACTTTCTGACACAGAGCTGAGGACCGAGGTGTGCACGGAGGCAATGATGGCCAACACGTCTGCAAGACAAGAGAGCCAAATTAACAATGGAACTGCCATTTGACCCAGTGACCCCACTTATGGAAAAATATCCTAAGAAACCTAAAACACCAATCAGGAAGAATATATGCACCCCTATGTTCATAGCAGCACTATTTATAATTGCTAAGATCTGGAAACAGCCCAAGTGTCCATCAGTAGATGAGTGGATAAAAAAGCTGTCGTACATATACGCAATGGAGTACTATGCAGCTGTAAGAAAGAAAGATCTCTTATCCTTTGAGACGACAGGGAGCGACCTGGAGAGTATTATGCTAAGCCAGTCAGAGAAAGACAAGTATCATATGATCTCACTTATTTATTGAACATAATGAACAAACTAAGCTGTCGACCAAAAGGAGATCCAGAATCATGGAAGCAGGGAACAGACTGACAAGCCTCAAAGGGATGGGGGTAGGAGGGAACAGAAGAGATAAACCAAAGAAGTTATATGTATATATGCTCAACCAATAGACAAGGACACTAGGCTGGGGAAGGCAGGAGGTGGGGTGGGAGTGGTAAGGAGGGGGTCAAAGGGGAAAAAAAAAAGGGATATCTGTAATGCTTTCAACAATTAAAAAAAAAAAAATAGCCTGGCCAGTGTGGCTCAGTGGTTGAGCATCGACCCATGTACCAAGAGGTTACCAGTTCGATTCCCAGTCAGGGCACATGCCCAAATTGTGGGGTAAATCCCCAGTGGGGGCATGCAGGAGGCAGCCCATTGATGTTCTCTCTCATCGATGTTTCTATCTCTCCCTCACCCTTCCTCTCTCTAAAATCAATAAGGAAAAAAATTTTTAATAAAAAGAAAAAATTAATTAATTTAATTAAAAGCAAAAAAAAGACAAGAGAACCAGAGTCAGTGATACTCAGAGACCAACTTCAGGAGCCCACGTCTCTGTTCTGTACTGAATCAGACTTGGGCTGAAGGAAAAGAAATTAATAAGATGGTAACAATGACAGTATCTGTGTCCTTCAAATTGTTTTCTAGTAGGAAAGCCACAACTTAAAATAACTTGAGAATAATCACAAATCTCACTTACAAATGCAAAATAATGTAAACACAAATAACACGAGGCAAAAAAATTATCGAAGTTGGTAATGTTTAACAGAAATATAGAAAGTGACTTTTTTTTTTTATCCTCACCCGAGGACATTTTTTCCATTTTTTGTCCAGACAGAGTGGGAAGGAGAGAGAGGAAGAGAGAAAGAGAGAGAAACATCAATGTGAAAGGGACACATCGAGTGGCTGCCACCCTCATGACCAACCAGGGCCGGGGACAAACTGCAACCGAGGTATGTGCCCTTGGGAACTGAACCCGGGTCTCTCTGGACCGCGGGCCTACACACTCTAACCGCTGAGCCAAACTGGCCAGGACAAAAGTGACTTTTTAAGTTAGGTCTTAAAGGAGGTGTGGTTAAAAGACGTGAGTTAAAAAAAACAATAAAGAATAGGGCTAACCATTGGCAACCCCAAGTGTACGGCTTGGCTACAGGTAATACCTCCTGAAAATGGAGAATTAAAAGTAGAAGGCCAAGAGTCTGCGCAGGGAGGGTCCCAAATACCAAACTCTCATTTTAGGAACCACATCAAGTTTCTGACAACCTGGATGAACTCCAAGTCAAAAGTCTCATATGGCACTGCAAAAAAGACGTGAACACAAGGATTTCTTTACTACCTACAGCAGCGGTTCTCAACCTGTGGGTCGCAACCCCTTTGGAGGTTGAACAACCCTTTCACAGGGGTTGCCTAAGACCATGGAAAACACATATTTCCGATGGTCTTAGGAACAGGGACACCGCTCCTCTATCCGTCTCCAGGTGGATGCGCCCACATGCAGATATGCCCACATACAACATGAGGAACTGTATTAAAGGGTCACAGCATTAGGAAGGTTGAGAACCACTGACCTACAGGAAAGAAATCTTTTTTTCTCCCCAGATAGACTAGGAGAGAAGGGGAGAAGAAAGAGAAACACTGATGTGCGAGAAACACATTGAGTGGTTGTCACCCACCCACATGACCCCAACTGGGCTGAGGACAAACTGCAACCGAGGTACATGCCCTTAACAGGAACTGAACCCAGGACTCTCCGGTCTGCGGGCTGACACTCTAACCGCTGAGCCAAACCAGCCAGGGCTAGAAAAGAGATCTTGAAGAGGATACATAAGTTTTCTACTAAAAAGTTGCTACTTTTCAAGTCTAAAACTAAGATGTGCCCAGGCGTTCTACCTGAAGAGGATGGCACTGACCCAGGGTGTACACAGTATGACATGACCTTCAGTCACATTATTATATCAAATCTTTCCAAACGTACTTAAGAACATCAAACTAAAAAGCTTCTGCACAGCAAAAAACAACCATCAAAAAAGAAACAACCAAAAAATAAAAAATAAAAAAAAAAAAAAAAAAAAAAAAAAGAAACAACCATCAAAATGGAAAGAGAACCCACTGTATGGAAGAGCATAATTGCCAATGATACATCAGATAAGGGGTTAATTTCCAAAATATATAAAGTGCTCATACAAGTCAACAAAAGGAAGACAAAGAACACAATTAAAAAATGGGCAGAGAAGCTAAACAGACACCTCTCCAAACAGGTCATACAAATGGCCAAGAGACATATGAAGAAATGCTCAACATCACTAACCATCAGAGAGATGCAAATTAAAATAATGATGAGGTATCACCTCACACCTGCCAGAATGGCCGCCATCAACAAGTCACCAAACAACAAGTGTTGGCGAGGGTGTGGAGAAAAGGGGACTCTAGTACAATGCTGGTGGGAATGCAGACTGGTGCAGCCACTATGATAAACACTATGGTGTTTCCTCAAAAAATTTAAAATTGAATTGCCATTTGACCCAGTGATCCTACTTCTAGAAATATA